TCGTATGTTTGGACATTCTCCTTCTCAATGTTATCACTTGCATCCAAATTTAAAACCTTCAAGTAAAAACGCTTCTGGATCTGCCCCACCTCATACCTGTCCCTCCTCTGCTCCTGAGTGCATTCCACAAACTATTGAAACCCCGGTTGACAAGATGCCACCTCCGCCTCCCACTACCGGAGACAATACTCTATCTGTTCTTCCGACTGATATATTGGCAGATGGTTTACTTGGGACCGACAATCAGGATAGTATTGAAGCTCCACATCCCCAGGATGCTTCAGGTGTTGAAGAGACATGCTTACTATCTCTTCAGAATCAGAATGTTGTCACTGCTAGTCAGGAGATGGGGGCCCATTCTCTCCTACATGCCCAACACTCTGTTGACCGCACTGATCAGATGAGTCAGTCGTCGGATGAGGAATGACAGGTTTACACATCTAGAAAGAAAAAGAAGAATGAAGGCACACCCCAGCTTGGGAACTTAATGGAGGATACCCTAGTAACTTCGGGTAATGGAACGACACTCAACAATGTGTTAGCTGTCTCTGGTCCTAGAACCAGAGGCAGAGGCAAGACCAAGTTGGCTTGTGCCTAACAGCTTATTTCCTACAAGTTTTGTTTTTCTTTTTCCTTTTTTTTTGTGTTTTATCTATGTTTCATCCTTTTAGGATGCTAGTGTCTGATGTATCGTATGGGTATGACACCTTTTTTTGGGTCCTCTCATACAACCTCTATGTATCTTTTCAATTTCAATAAAATTAGCCCTTATATATATATATATACACACACACAATTATGTATGTATAATTACTTAACTTTGATATCACTTTGATCAGTGCTAGAATTGATAGATGCACTAATGAGACTGAAAAGCTAAGCTACAATGAATGAAACAAATACAATCACAATTAAAAAATAACTTAACATATCGAATGAGTAACATTAAGTTTGTAAGAGGCCAAAAGAGGATTTTAAGTTAATGATACATTTTTCTATTCTTTCTCCTTTTCAAACTTTCAAGCGTATAAAATTATAGTTCTCCATTTTTCCACTGCATAATCATCATTAATTTTGCCAAATCATAAGGTATATATAATGAAGAATTTCTTTATAAATATTTATCAACTCAAAGTTCACTTTGCCAAATGTAATGCAAAAGCTAAACAAGCCATGCTATATATATGGCAGGGTCAATGATGGTGTGCACAACTGTAGATATGTTCAATGATGGTGTGCACAACTGTAGATATGAAATAATATAAAGTGTAATATGTTATGATTTGAGTAATCGAAATTAATTACAATATTATCTATATGATAATCAACAACAAAGATGTACATACTTGATATCAATTAGATCAATCCTACAAGTACAATATTTTATGAAAATAACTATTACAAGTGAGAGAATTATAAGATAATTATATGAGTTGATTGCACTATGTAAGCTAAAAAAGTTATTTCTTACAAATCATTAGAGCAAAAGTGCCCAAACAATAATATGATGTTAAACTAAACAAATCTATGTTATATTTGATACGATATATCTTAAATGCACAAAAAATTTATTGTACTCCAAACAAGATACTAAGAGTATATACTTATTAAAATGACATAAGAGCATAATAATAATTTATTGTACTCTAAACAAGATACTAACATTTTTCAAAATTTTAATTTACAAGTTCACCTCTAATGTTTGCCATCATATTAGATATTACACTACATTTTTTTTTTTTATGTATGTATCAACTGTTAAGTCATATTTTATATTTTATAATTATTAATTATAGTATTTATATATAAATAATTTTATTAACATATTAACATTTTAGTTGATAAAAGTCTAGCTTCACTCTATGCTCAACGTGTCGTCGAAGCAAAAAATAAAACTTTGTGCATCGCATTACACTTTAATAACACTAAATATACTATTTGATAAGTTCTTGGGAAATATACATACATAGCACACATTTCTTATGTATTTACATATCTAACAACTAAATTTTAATGGTTGAATTTATACCACCTTGATATTGAAAATCTATGCATGAAAATATTTCTTTCACTGTTAAAAGTTAGTCATAAAGATAGTTTTTTTTTATTTGAGGTAAGAGAATCAAGAATTATGTAGGTAAATATGAAAGTTTAGGTGCTAGATATGTAAATACAAAATTGTGGAATGTAAGTAACCTTCCCTAAATTCTTCTAGCATGCATAAAGAAAGAGAAGGCAAATCAAATAGAACCCTTAATGACTAGAGCCCTAAGTTACAATCACAATACAGGCAATTTAAAAGATACAAAAATAAAATTTCAACTAAATTTGCCGTTTAAGAAACAATAAGTGAAATCTAACTAAAACAATGAGAAAAACATACAATCATATAATCTAAACTAATGACTTGGAGTTGGGAGGCTACATTCTGAGCTTTTTCAATCCCTTCCCTACCCTTTTTCATACATATGTGGGACTAATATTAGCTGTTTAACTTGAGGAATCTTTCCGGGGTTTCTTATTTTTTCCTTGGCCCTGAGACTTCAGCTGTGTGGATTTGGAGATGAAGACAAACTCAGAAGCTAGAGGCAAGTGATCACTTCCAATATTCTGCAATTTAAAGACAATGGAATTCAAGCCTGAGGCACTCATGAGTTTCTCAGAAAAATGATCACAATGTTACTGTAATGATGATGGCCATAAAAGCCATGCGCCAGAGATGTCAATATTTCATATTATTATATGAGACTTAGTAGGAGCTGATCCACTAATTGTAGTTTAATTTACAGGGAATGGCATAAATATAACTGCAGATATAAAAGGAGCCTATATGTTAACATAAAAACTTTTGAGTAGCATTTTATTAAATAAGATGAAAGAAAAAAAATCAACTTAGTATAAAATTAATCGTGGTTGATTCAATTGTGGTGCGTCAAAGTAGAAACTATTGTGCTGTACAATCTAAGTTCTCAAAAGTTAGTCAATAGAATGCTAAAAATTAGCTCTTTGCATGAAATCACGAAAATTTATGACATGGAGTTTAAATTGCATGATAATTTCGAACAATTATTGCCATTTGAGATTAAATTTACCAAAAGTCTAGTTAAATCTGAGTCTGTATTGTGATCATATGGCATGTTCCTAACTTACCCTACAACTGAATCAAATTAAAGCCCATTATGAGTAAATGTAGCTCATGTTCCTTGCAACCATGGCTACTTTTAAGTTAGTTAAAAGTTCACATGTTATGCTCGAAATAACCAGTCACTTACAGAATCATATTCTTATTGTTGAGTCAATATAAGGCGCACAATGACTTAATGGGAGAAAATAACCCTACAACGTTATATAGTTCGAATGATAGAAATTTCAACATATAAAGCTCCTTCTGAATTCTTTCTAGATCTAACCTATATTTGAGGTTACTATGCTGTGAACAGGGGAAATTATTGCTAATAAAATAAAGGGAAATTTACACATGCAGCACACAATTCTTATGAGTTTAAATAACTCACATCTAAACTTTCATATCTACATATATATATATAGCAATTTGATGTTTTATACCCATGCATGAAACGTGTATTTCACTTTCTAAAAGTTTAGACTTGTGTTCAAAATTGACTTATTTAAAATTTTCAAACAAGCTAAAAATTTAAACTAATAGTTAGATTTTCATATAAAAAATTCAATAAATAATGTTACAAATCTGATCGTCTCAACTAATTTATTGATTATAAACCCTGTAAAAATGGAAGGTAACTCATGAACTTTGATTATATAGGATAAAATTTCTCATATTTTAGCATTATCATACTCATATTCCAAGTTTGCACCCAACTCCCACATTCAGATGTAGATTTTAGTTTTCTCATAGTGATATGCACTTGTCATTTTCCTAACTTTTTGGATAATTTTGTAGATATCTTTTATATTGAGTTGTTGCACATTATTATTTTTAATCATATATAATTTACAACGATTGCACTGCACTTTCTCAACGTCAATTTTAAATTGTGTATAACTTATGAGCAAAATGAAAATGTGAGATATACAAGAGATTGGAGTTTCAAAGATCCTTTAACACTGCGATCCCTTCATTGTTTTCGATGCTTGCAAGCCATAGCAACTCAAGGTTTCATATGTTTTGGATGAAAACGGGAGACACAAAACTGTGAGAGGCCAGAGTGAATGTGAGGTTTGACGAGTTTAAAGTTAATTTTGATGAGCATTTCATATACTTCAGATAAATCTTATATATTTTCATATCTAACACCAAAATTTAATAAAATAAATATATAATTAAAAATTAATCAAAAAATATTATTGGTATAATAAAATATTGCTACTAAATCTATAATTAAACAAATTATAGTTAATTATCATATATGAAATAAGTTTATATCGAACTTAATATCCAATATTTAATGAGTTAATTGTTGAACAACAAACGAGTTGAACATAAATGAACAAATTCGACTATTGTTCATGTTTAGTTCACTTAAGTTCCGAGCTTATAAAAATTGTTCGAGTTTGTTATTTACTAATTTGAACGAACAAGAGCGAGTCTTAATCGAGCCAAGTTCGAGTTGTTTATCGAGTGCGTTGGTTCATTTATAGTCCTATTCACCGATTGCAGCTCAAATTTATATCCCTCTACTTATTTCCATCTCAATCAACTTGCTCTACCTTTACTTGTAGGTTGACCCGTGAAAAAAATTTCTATTCCAATTTCTCGTACAATTGTGTAACAGGAGCGTGATTTTCATGTATTGTGTGCTAATGATCTCAAATACATACATAGATTACCATAGCGGTATGAGTTTCTTCTTTTTTTCTATGGATCATCACACGAATTAAATAATTGTTCTGGTTAGATATTAAGCCTGTAAACCTTAAAAATTGGAATTTAAATCTGCTTTCCAATAAACTATGCTATTTTATCTTTATAAATATTCATTAAAAATTTTCATTGCATATATATACTTTGCATCATTGTAATAGTTCCAAATGGAAACTTTAGCCCTTAATACAAGTAATGATTAAGACCATTTCCAGATAGATCTCTTTTATGTGTCACCAAAAGAGAGAATTTGGGCCTTCTACTACAGCACATATCTTAAGAAATTATTGAAATAGGCACACCAAGTATCAGAAGGGTAGAAATTGCACCTGTTAGAGGAGTTGATAAAATTATTGGGATACAATTTACTTCGATGGAATTTGTCCGAAATAATTTGCATAAAACAGATTTAATATCTCAAACAAAACTCTTCAAAAGGGAATAAAAATAATGATTCATAAAACCAACCCCAAGTGCTTGGTTTAAGACTAATGATACAGAAGCAAAACCCTACTATTTAAGATGGCAAAAAATACTTTACTTATGCCTAAGGTAGTGCACTAATATATAAACAAATGATTTAAAAGCTAGTATAACTTGGTAATTCCATCATAACATAAAATATCACAAGCATATGAACAAGTGGGACTTTCTTGATGATTACATGGAAAAAAAAAATGCAAAACGTTCAGTGAAATAAATTTCTGCAGCAGATCTATAAAATATACAAGAAACTTAACAAACTAACGAAACAGAACTGCTGAATGATCAAGTCAAACCAACGAAATTTTTGAAGGACTTAATAAAAAAAAGGATATTTATTTAATAGCTGCGATATCAAATCACAAATAAAATTGTTTATTTTACACGAAAAAAGAAAATTCATACAGTGAAGATTATAATATGATTCCAAGAGAGTTTAATCCCACATGTATTAGTTAGATATTTTTTTCTTTAAAACATACAAAAAAACCCTTCAAAAGAAATAATTTCAAGAGGAAAATACAATGGAATTTGAAATACGAGTTGTAAGAAGATTTTTAAGTTAGTATATTACAAAAACCAACTAGAATTTTGAAAATGAAAGAAGCAGAAGTGGGGAACAGAATTGTTGGTTCTATCAAGATTGGCATAAAAGTTAGCCTAAAAATGAATAAGATGATCTGGTGGTGAGTAAGGAGGTATAATAGATTGTTAAGAAAATTCAATTTTTCCAAAGTTAGAAAAATTACTACTAACGCTTACAATAATCACAAGCAAGAAGCCTTGCAAACAAGACAATATGAAAAACAAAAGCTATAATTTTAATGATTTATTATGAAAGGAGGAAAAGCAATAAATAAAATAGCTAAAGCAAGAAATTGGAGATACATTTCCTTTTTTAATCAATTAGACATGCTAGAATGAACCTATTAGGGTATTAATAGATGAACACAAGAAATTAGTTGTTTTGAGAAATTATTGTATGAGAATCTTAATGATTCAATCTTTCTGAAAAGCATAATAAATTAAATTCCTAAATACATTTATCTTGACTACAAAAGGTGAAGTTCATATGACTCCATGATTACACCAAAAATTTATGTTGGATTTAAAAATTATAGGAGATATTGAATAAGCATGATTAACATATTTTTCCAATAAAATCTTAAAAACCAACGGGATGCCAAATATTTCAAGGAAACACGTTTAAATACTAATATTCAAGAATACGGGGATGTTTCGCTTATGATAGGCATAAGGGAATCAAACATATGAGTATATATTAAAGTTATAGGAGAATCATAGAATATGGGCTTACAAAAGTCAAGTCAAAATTGGAGAGACAATTTAAATATATGCCACAGATTCACTTGTGAAAATGACTTTTTTGCCAAGGCAATTAACGAAAAAAATCTAGAGAACAAAGTAAAGATCTTATATAGTTTTTATAAGGGATGTACATTTTTGGATATAAAAAAAATATATAACCAAACTGATCTGAGTTAATTTGGTTCAGTTAAGTATTGATTTGATTATTGTCAATAATTTTCACTTCTTCGGTATTTTACTTTCGTAAAACAGATGAAATTAAAAACTGAATAATATTAATTTTTTCAAGTATCAAATCAACAAAGCTCCCTAAACAAATTACATAAAAATTATCGTGAAATTTATTTATTCTTCATGCCAAATTTATAAATGTTGACAAAGATTACTTGATATTTTTATAATATATGTAATTTAAGTTGAAGATAATTAGACAAATTGTTAACGTTAAATAAATTTTGGTTTATTAAAAGCTGAGCTGAACTGACCAAACTAAATTCAATTTTATTTCGTTTTATTTGAAAAAAGAAACGTCGGTTTGACATTTGTGAACAACAAAAATAGATTGCTTAGCTGATTTCCAAACCAAATAATCCAAATCAATAAAAACCATATTTTTTATGGATCATGAGAAGGCATGTGATTGAGTGTCATTATAATTAATTTGGTGTGCATTAAAAAAATGTGAAAGAAATAGCAGTAACTTCTAAATAAGTCTAAACCAAATGAATTTGAACAAACATTTGCATGGCAGATGCATGATTTGTATGGAGATAACCTCAGAAAATTAAGTTGATGATCATGAAAATTATAAATCTAATACTGATTTGAACAAGAGAGAGAAATTTTAATGCAAGTAATTAGATAATGATAAATTTAAATCAAGAAAGAGTTCCTACAAAAATTTTGAAAAAAATAAATGCAAAAAAGATTGGGTTAGATAGAACTATACAATTCA